GCTGTTGCTGTGAGCAGTTTGGTTCCTCGTTTGGCTCATTAGAGTGGTTGAGGTCCCTCACACTGCTTGCTGAGGGCATCGGGGGCTGGGCAGTGCCGTCCTGCTGTTGTGGCTTGGAATGCTGCGCAGGAGCAGTGCGTGGTCAGGATCAGGGGGTGCAGACCTGCATTGTCAGGATCATTCTTAATGATCGTTTCACCAAACAATATCGATCCAGGAGGAGTCTGTCACGTCCTTCCCAGGGACTGAGAGTTCTTGTGATGTAGGGAAAGAGCTGATGAGTTCTAAACAACAACGGTGACATTTAAAGCTGCTAATACTTGTTAGCTCGCTAATAGCTTGCTGGTAGCTGCTAATGCCACTTACTTGTAAATCTAAGGAACTCCCACCACTTCCACAAGTGGAAAAAGAACAGAACTCAAGCGCTCTGTTCTTCTTGGTGAGCTTTAGTGGAGGAATTCAGGCACATTCTTTGCAGCTGATTGAGACAAAATGCCTCAGTGCTGTACTTAGTTGTCACGTTAGACATTGGAATATTTCTACATATCTTTGTATATACCCCTTTTCTTGGAAATCCTTATGCTGGTGGCCACCATTAGCTTAGTGCACGAGCTCTGCCTTGTGAGCTGGTGCTGTCAGAGGTGTGACAGTGCTGGGGATATCCCTGTGCTGTGCTCAGGCAGGACTGAGGCTGTTGGGAAGCATAGAATCACAGAAGGATTTGAGTTGGAAGGTACCCTTGCAGGTCATCTTGTGCAGCTCCCCTGCAGTGGGCATGCCTGAAGTAAGGATTTTCTTTAAAGACACTTGAACTGATGCAAAATTTATTTTCATGTAATGATTTATGGAGGTTATTAAACCAGCTACCTGGCAACTTGCAGACTCATTTGGGCTCAGTTTGCTTCTGTTCTTGAGAAACTGTTCTGCGCTCATCACCAGTGTATGCAAGTGCTGTCTTGTAAAATCTAATTTGTTCTTTTATCCTGCCTTTTATGTGCAGAGTTATGTTCTAATTTGTTATGATCTATTATTTTTAACGATGGGTGGACGTACATCAGGCTCTGTTAGAAGAAGTAGGCTAAAGGCAAATAGCTCACAGACGTAGGGAAAGCCACGGTGCCTTTGGGGCTGCAAGGTGGGCACAGCTCTGTGATGCTGAACTGACTCCCTGCGTGGGTTGGCTCTCCTGGCACTTCAGGTCTCTTTGTGCCTGAATGAGGAATCATTGCTTGTCTCCATTCTGGAGTTTTTAGGGGGTCTCTCTTATCCTACGCTACGACAACTGAGTGTGTTTACCTTGCAGAGCAAGACTTTGAACCTGGCTGGGTATTCTGGGACAATGCAGGCTGGTTCGAGGTGCTTACATGGTTTAATCATAGACCTCTGTCCCTGACTTTTGGTGTCTGAAACCCAGACCTGTGACTGAGATTGAAGCACAAGGTGGTTTCCCAGCAGTTCTGTAGGATGGCTTTGCTGGAGGCGGGGTGGCCGTCCCTCTGCTTACCTTCCTCTGGGTTCTGTTGGGCGAAAGCAGCCAAACAGCAGAGATGGGGAGAGATCTGAGAGGGACCTGGGGGAGAGACCTTGATTTAAAGTGCCCACCGTGGGTGTTGTGGAGCTCTGGGGACACAGCAATAGGACCCAACCATCCAACTGCACACAGGTGTCCCCACGGGCTCCGGTCACCTTCTGTTTATTTGCAGCACACTTAGTAAGGATTTGGAAGCAGCTTGACATTTTTGTTTTCTATTTTGCTTACTGGAAGGAGTCGACATTGGCATGTTGGACCACGTTCAGGTCTGCTGCAAATAGAGGCAGCCTCCTTTCAGTCTGTGGCACTGCGAATCCCTGCACCAGGGCTCAGCTGCCTATTTTTAGCTCTGCTGACTTACCTGGCTGCTTCTGTTTGCTTTAATAAGATTTTTATTTACTCCCGTTCAAAGGAAATTTGAATCGGATACTAATAAAGTTCCAGCTCAGATTCGATAAGTAGTTTGATCCGAGGCTGTTTTATTATGGAGTCCCTCATTAGTTTTATGGTGCTTATTCTGCTCTCTGTATGAATTGAGGACGGGGACGTGGTGTGATGAATGCAGGGTGACCTTTAGACTGTGAGCGTGAGCGCTGTGTCGGTGATGGGGCTTACTGCAAATAATGGCATTTGGCACACTGTGCCGTGCAGGATCATCCATAAGAAAGGAGTGAGAAGAAAGCAGTGCTCAGAGGCTGGGAAGCCATGGCCTGCAGTGAGGTACCCTCTTGTTCTCTCACGCGTCTGCATTATTAATCCCATCCATCACTTTGTTCGTTACCAGTTGCTTTTTCCTTAGCAGCCACTGATCTGGTGGTTGCAGCAATTACATAGCCTAGAAGGAGAAATCTTGAAAGCAAAAAGCTGTCAACATCTTTATTTCATAAATAATTGCTGGTTCCTTTTAGCAGTTACTTAATGCTATCATTTCTTTAATTCCTGCTTTCTGCTCTGGGTCCCACTTGCAGCGCGCAGCTAACGGTGCTCATTGTGCTCTGCGTCAGCTCTGCCCGAGCTCCTTAGAACTGCTGTCACCACTCCAGCACTGCTCCTGTCAATTAGTTGTGCTATTATCTGAAAGCTGTGCTTCCTGGCTAATCATTTTTCGCTCAATCTCAGAACATCAGTAGGAAAAAAGAGATCTCCTTTATGCTGCGGTGGAAGTGCAGCTGGCTGATGGAGCAGTGCGTGTTGCGGGCTGGCGGTGCCTCGTCCTTCTCGTGCTTTGGTCATAGCATAACTTCTGAAAAGAGGCATAAATGGAAACCTTCTTTTGTAGGGAGATCGGTTCTGGGAAGCAGCGTTTGTTCTGCTGCTGGTGGCCCTGAAAGAACGGCAGTGCTGGGATTGGCATGAGGTGAAATGCAGCATCCCTTGTTAATGAGAAGCGTGTCTCAGAAATGCTTCTTAATGACTGTATAACGTGTATGAGTGCAGTATGTCTTACCAGACACACATAAATGCTCTGACCAGTGGTTTTTTCAAAGGAAGAGAGAGAGAGATCTATTTTTATATCGACCCAAGTAGCATTTCTGAACCAGGAACGAATCGACTTCTTTTCCCTCCAGAGAAAATGGTGGAGAGCTGATAGATGAACGAGCTGTCAAAGTTCCCAACTTCTTTTGGATGTGGCTTTTTTTTTTTCCCCTTCACCATCGCAGTGCAATTAAAGACAAAAGCATCTCGGTGAGAAGCTGTGAGCAGCGCAGCAGGCTGTCATTGCTCCTCGTCCCCTGCCCATCACACAGGGCTGCAGTGTGGGCAGCAGCATTGCTGAGGGGTTGTGCTGCTGTGTTTTCACACCCCTCCCACAGTTGCCTTTGTGGGTTTGTTTTGTTTGTGGGTTTCATTGGTGAGCAGCCAGCGTCTGGGAACACGCCAGGGATTTTTCTTTCACTGCGTTCATCGCTGTTTGTGCCGCTCTTTGGTCTCTTAATTACACAGCTGCAATCTCCTTTGGTTCGTTGTCCAAATAGAAGTCCGGTCTATTTAGCGTTGTTTTGCTGTGATGTTCCGATCATGTGTAAAAGAAGAGTTAATGAGCGAGCTTTATTTCCATGAGTGCCATTTGTGGGGATCCAGAAATGCGCCGTTTTTTGTCCTCAGGTTTGCTCCAGATGGGGTTGATGGGATGTTTCCTGTGCAGACAGTGGGCTGCAGGGTAATCTGTGCTTTGGGACTGCGTTTGCCATGCGTGTGATGCTGCTCTGGGTGGTGATTGCAAATGGCTTTCAGGGAAATGGCAAACTCCTTCTGTTTTCATAAAAAAGAAAATCAGCAGCAAACCCAATTGGCTATAAAGTAGTTCAAGACCGATTCTTTTTTGGTGAGAATAATTGGAAAGTTTAGAGATTCTCAGAAGATAATTTCTTAATTAGATTTCTGGCCTTATTTAGAGAACAAAACCCGGTTTGTATGATCATCCAAATATCATCCTAATCAGCCAAGTGAGTCAGGGAAAGCACTGCATCTGTCTGGTCATCATCCCTCCTTTGGTGTCTGTTTATGGCTGCACCAAGGGGTGCCCATGAGAACAAGCTCTGCTAATAGGAAATTTAGCTTGGGATCCAGAAGTAACCAAGAAGCTTTTGGTTGTGCATCAGCGTGGCCTTCTGTTGTCTGCTCAGTGTTGGTTCTTGTAGAATCATAGAATGGCTTGGGTTGGAAGGGACCTCAAGGGTCATCAAGCTCCAACCACCCTGCTGCAAATTCAGGGCCACCTGTAAGTTTAAATGACAATGATGCTTAATAAAAATAAAATAGAGCAGAGTGGTGCGTAGCTGGGTAAGTTGAAAATGAGCACTTTATGCCCTGGTGTATATGGATGTGTGTATCTACTGAGTGATGCTTTGAAATACCAGTGTCAGGCAGAGGGTTTGGATGATCGGTGCCCACACTGCCTGTGTGGGGCAGAGCTTAAAGCACTCGTAATGGAAAAGGCTCCTCAGTGGGCTGCAGGGGCCGTGCTTTAAATCACTTGCAAAGGAACTATAAAGGCTCTGATGTAATTCATGGCACTGTAAAATCCATTAGTGGTAACATTAACCAGCAATTGTAAAGTCAAAATGTTGAAGGAGTTGGTTTTTCATCGCTAAAGCATGGAACTCCAGTACCAAGAAGCAAAATGCTTGAATAATATCTGGTTTTTACTGTGAAAAACACCTCAGAGATCAGACAGGGAAGAGGAATGGAATATTTCGGTGTGTTGTATAAACATCTCCTAAGTTCCTCGGCAGGTATTGGGATGTGCTTTACGTGCCCCTGGGAGATGAATGAGTTGTACGGTGGTTTTCTACTCAGAATGCTGTGAAGTTGCTGGAGAATCGACATCGCTCAGTTGTGGCAATTACGGATACTTACACAGGTGTATGCAGCCCATGGGGCTCCCAGGCCTTGTCTGATAGCAATATTAGAGCAAGTTGTAGCAATGATACGTTTTTTTCTGATTTTTCTTTTTTTTCCCCCCCAGGATTTTTGCTCTTTAAAGACTATTGCATGAATGAAATCGATGAAGCCGTCCCTCAGCTGAAGTTCTATGAAGAGGTAAGCTGCACCCTGCAGACACTGCCAGCACAGCACATGGATTGACTTGACGGGTCAACAGTTGGACAGTGGGTTGATGGTTGGAGTGGATGATCATAGTGGTCTTTTCTAACCCTAATGATTCTATGGTGGTGGAGAGGAGGAGGATGCTAACGGAGATCAAAGTATCTTTGGGTTTATTGCTATTTTCCATTGTGAGTTGCCTGCTTTTACTGTGGGTCACCTGAACTGTTGCTAAGAGCTCAGTTGTCAACTGGGTTCACCTCGGCTTGTAAAGGATCTCTGATAGCTGAGAGTTAAGCCAGACCCGTTTTTGAGCAGTGGAGTAAACTTTTGATCTCTGCTGGTGAAGATGATGATAAATCTGAGTTCTTCTACAAACAGAGATGAGGCGAAAGTAAATAACGTCTGCCAGCTCCCAGTGGAATGAGAGCAGTAGATTCCTGCTCTCGGAAAGATCTGAAAGCAAAAGCAGAACTTGTTACTACAGCTGACGTGGGACGTGAATTCATATCCACTGCATGTAGGGAAGGATTTTTCTGCCTCTGCAAGGGACGCCCGCGTGCTCCTGCTGCGTTCAGCCCCTGCCTGTTGCTAAGTATAGCAGTGAGGTTTGGGTGCCTTTACAGTGCAGCCTGTGTTGCTCTGTGCTAATTAGAAGTGCTGCCTGAGATAACCCTGTGTCTGGAGTGCTGTCAGGCTGATGAGTTACAGTTGTTCTTGCTCGTGGGCTAACAGCACAAATAGTGGAAGAGGGATCGGCGTGGAGACAAATCACGAGCGATCCGCTGCTCCCCCACTCAGTGAGGCATTGCTTTCAAGGAAGAGGGATCTTTTTTTCCCATCATTTCCATCTTTTTCTATGCTGAAGATATTGCTGTCAGAAGTAATCAGGAAGGCAAGTTGCAGCCGATTGTTTAGCAAGATATTTTTAGCCGCCTCTTTATCTTTGAAACAATGTGAAATTGTATTTTTAGGTTATTAGCGAAGTGTTGCTTAAAAAGATGTTAAATGCTTCGTCATGCACTTTTGGAAAAATCCTGTTGAAGATATTTAAAGAGGTTCATTACATCTTCTCCTGTGATGTGCTGGATTCTTGAGCTTTTCTTCCCAGTATATTTGATTTACTTGCCGCACTTATTACATGTGGAATAATTTGAGTGCATTGCCACATTAAAAATCACTCGATGCAGAAAGGCTCCGTACTCCAGGGATCACACACTGCTGCAGCTTAAGTCACGATCGAGCATTTAAGTGGATGAGTGATTCATCCGGATCGGTTTCAAACAAAAAAACACAAGGAAAAAGAAGGAAAAAAGAACGTCAGGGTGCTTGAAAGCTAATGGCAGTTCTTGAAAGCTTCTTTATCAGCTGCTGTGTGAAGGTGAACTGGGGTTGGCAGGGGTGTCCCTGCAGCTTTGGGGTGCTGTGTCCGTGGGTTATGCTGTCTGTGGTGCCCATGAGGATGAGGCTGAGCTCAGGTGATGCACACCGGGGCTCCTCTGCTGCTTCTAATTGTTTTGAGGCATGGCATTAATTAAAAACAACGTAGCAAAGATGTTTTGTATCACTGTAATTATAAAATGGTCCCAAGGGGGAAGAGGTCAGAGGTGGCAGTAGAACTGCTGCCTAATGGCAGGCAGCGAACACCAGGGCTGGGCTGGGGGTTTCCTTGGCTTCATTCTGGGCTCCTCAGTTCCACCTGTGCATAGAGCAGCTCCTGAGTGATGCTAAAACAAAAGCGAAACTGAGCTGAGGGAAACGCACTGCAGTCACACAGCTGTAGGAAATGGAGCTTTGTGGGAATTTCAGGCAAACAAAGAAAAGAATGAGGAGGGAAACCTCACATCACGTGTAATTGTGGTTCTACGTGTCTTAACTAAGAAAAAAAATGAAGATAAGCAAAGCTTTAGCCAAAGCAAAGTCCTTCATTTGCCAAAGACCTGAACAGTATTAAAGATGTGCTCATGTGATGGGCCCTTCCTCTGGCGTTGCAGATCAAAGAATACGAGAAGCTGGACTCCGAGGAGGAGCGCCTGAGCAGGAGCCGCCAGATCTACGACACGTACATCATGAAGGAGCTGCTCTCCTGCTCCCACGTGCGTAGCCCTCCGTGCCGAGAGCGATCCCAACCCGTGCCAAAGTGCCAGCAGAGCCAGCACAGGGCCACATCTCCTCCAAACGAAGCTGTTGCTCAGTGAATGCTTAGATGTTGCACCGGGAGACGTGGTTTAGTGGGAAATATTGGTGGTGGGTGCACGGTTGGACTGGATGATCTTAGAGGTCTTTTCCAACCTTGGTGATTCTATGAACCCCTTGGCGTGCTCTCAACTAAAAGAAAAGTTGGGAGCGTGGTTTACATTGCATTATGTGCATTTTTTCTTATGTTTAGAAGGACGGCAGCTCTGTGACCTTAAAGGAAACATTTCCAACTGTTTGAAATCTTTCTCTGTCTTCTTTTCCCAAAGCCTTTCTCCAAACAAGCTGTAGATCACGTACAAACACATTTATCCAAGAAGCAAGTGCCAGCCAGCCTTTTCCAGGTGAGCTTCAGTCTGTTGACATTTCTTTCACTTATTTGACAGTAAGAGACGTTGTGCATGGAGACAAATGTGTTCTTACAGAGACAGAATCCAAAGGTACTGCTGAATGTTCTCTGTGATAGCAATACCAGAATGTTTCTCTCAGCTGAACAAAAATTATAAATTACTGTTCTTTCCTCCATTTGAATACAGAAAAAAGTGCTATTCTGGCCCACTTTCTGAGTTATTAATCTCCAGTGGTTTTATTTAGTTTAGAAAATAAAGGAGTGAAATGTGAAATACTTTTTGTATTGTTGCACTGCAATCCAGATCGACAAAAAACAAGAAATTCAGATTTGTGCTCATTTTTGTAGCTAAATTCACAGTTTGTTTGTGCAGATAATAAACCTCACCCATCATGGGAGTGTTCACAAGCTCACACTTCTTTGATGTCAATCTTTGTGAATATTGCCCCTGCCTGGTTGTTTTTACTGCTCAGTGAACTGTTTTTAACGTGGCAATTAGGTGAAGTGACAAACTGATACCTACATTGCTTGAGTTACAGCTCCCTGCTAATTGGGTTGGGATTTGAGATCTCTGCGTGCTGGCACACAACGTGAGGAAGCACTTCTGCTTGGACGAAGTCATTTGGGAACTGAAGGTGCTTCCATACTCAGGAGAGAAGGGCAGAGGATGGGCCCAGCAGCTCTGGGCAGCGCAGAGCAGGGAGATCTGTGCTGTGATGGCTTTGTACTTGTTAGCCATTTATAGGGGCTGCATGCAGGGATCGTTCAGCTCTCCCCAAGGGGAACACAGTGTTTTCTAGCTGGTGACAATATTTTGTGTTTCACTTCAGGGCACCTGTTCAATTTCCTAAAGTTCAGTGAAGCTGAAATGCTTGCCTCAGCTTTATCCAGGGAAAACATAGGAAGTGCTGCTGCTGCACAGGGCTGTGTGCAGTGGGTGCAGAGAGCTCTTCATCTGTCTGGGATTAGGGTTGCTGCAGATTGACAAGTGGCTGAGATTGGTGAGAGCTGCTGGGAGCCAGCTCCAAACCTCAGTGTGCCAGCTGTGTGTGAGAGGTGGTGGTGCATGCCCAGCTCATCATATGCTTACATTTATGTGTGCCTCTTCATCCTTTGTAGCCATATATAGAAGAGATCTGCGATAGCCTCCGAGGGAAAATATTCCAAAAATTTATGGAAAGGTATGGACATGAGCTCTATTATGTGAACTTTCCATCTGCCATAGTAGAAGTTCAGATCCCTTAAGTGTTGCTGTAAAATAAGCTGAACGTGCTTAGTAACCTTCATTTAATCCTTAGTTAGCACACCTTACGAACGACTCCATAGAACTGTTATTCCTTGTTTTGAAAATAAGGACTAAATTATTTATGTGGAAATGGGAGACTGCTTTTTGGCAGCAGCTTGTGCTGCTTATTTATGTTTTTCCTATGTTAAGTTAAAAATGAGTTGAAAACGTTCCTTGGGGGGATGCAGAGGTTCATTAACATAAATTGAGCTGCCTCTGTTTGCTTTTAATTACATTTCCCTTTATGCCATTTGATTGTTGGTTAGTTCCAAAGTTAGTCTAGTTGTTTCCAAAAATGAACGTTGACATCTGCAGCGATGCTCTGAGCTGATCGCTTTCTCTTACAGGGATGTAGGAGATGAGAGATGCACTGCTCAGTAGTGGGTTTTTGTGGAGGGGGTGGGATTATGGTTGCCTAAAAGCAGGCCTGTGTTGATGAATGTCACAGCACACCGCATCTCCTTTTCAGTATCAGAGTCTCAATGCTTTCTATGATACTTTACACAGGAGTCTCAGATAACTTTTTAACTTCTTTTCTACAGTGACAAGTTTACTAGATTCTGTCAATGGAAAAATGTAGAGCTAAATATTCATGTAAGTACTTACACATATATTTATCTTGTCAAAGGCTGATGCGGGGAAGAGAATGTTCAGTTTTGAATCCTGCTTCTCAAAAGGCCTTATCAAGTACAGGGAGTGTTACTGATACGCTGCTCTATTCTTAGGCATGCAGTCCTTGCAGTTCCGTTTGGACATCCCTTCTGCCTGCCCTGAGCTGACAGCTTTGGGATTGCTGTGAGAGCTGCAAGAAGCTGAGCTGCTCCAATTGTTTCCCCCTCTTGAGTCCCACTGCAGCTGCAGCACTGTCCCAGCACTGCCCTCAGCCTTTCTTTGGCCTCAACCATTGTCCCTCTGCAGTGCTCCTTTGTGGCTGTGTAGGAGCAGCATCCTCTGCTGCAGCTCTGTATGAGTGAGGCCATCAGCCTTTAGCTAGTGCAGGCTCAGGGCTCCTTCTGTTGTACTTAACACAGTGGTGCCTGCAAGTGCACTAAAATACAAAGAATAAAGAGCTCCTTTTCCCAAAACAGTAAATGCAATCTGAATAACAACAGTTAAGCCTCTTACTGAAATAATAAAGTCTTCCTTTTTTTTTTTTTTTTTTTCTCCTGCTTACAGCTGACCATGAATGACTTTAGTGTACATAGAATAATTGGAAGAGGGGGATTTGGTGAAGTGTACGGTTGCAGAAAAGCAGACACTGGAAAAATGTGAGTATATGCACATGCTTCAAAGATAGCTGTGAACTCTGATCTGTGCAAGGAAATCCTTCTGGTTACTTCACACAGAATCACTGCAAAGCAGCATTGCATGGCTGCGTATTTCCTTCTAATTAAATTTGATCCCCAGAGGTTCTGATTCCTGGATCATCGTTAAGCTTCGTTTGCTGTTTGATCCTGCTGTGTGCCATGCAGCAGGGCTCCAGGCTAGCACCACTCGTAAGCATATCCCTCATTTAAATGGTCCTGTCAAAATCAACGGAGGCTGCACACGTGTTTAAAATTAAGTGTGTGCTTAAATGATTTCCTGGCCCAGCACCTCACAGTGCCAAAGGATGTTTTTATGAAAACATGGTGATGGTGTGAGGTGTTACCCCTAATCTGCTGAAGGTCCTGGTACCTCATTGGTGCTCACGGAGCACTGGAGGATGGCAGAGGAGCACGGACCACAGCACTGCTCAGTCTGCAGGGTCATCCCTGGGCAGAGGCTGCATGTGCTATTCTACATTTGTGTAATTGCATAAGTTTCTGCCCTGATGGGTCCATGTTTCCCTGGGAAAAGCAGTGATGCTTGCATTTGGAAGAATGCAGTTCAGTGTCGGATTTTGTTTAACAGAGCTCTCAGCGGGAACTGCAAGATCTTTTTCTGGTCTCACCATTCATATGCTTGTCCTAATCAACAGATTTCAGTTTCCAGGCATAAGCGTCCCATAATGCCCTGTTTTGAATGTCTGGGCATTGATTTAACAAACTGTTCTCAATATGTTTTTTTTTTCCCCTTTCCATCTTGCTCTTCTCCTAACAATTATAGCCCAGGGACCATCTTTACATGTTTCTATCCTACCCAAGCATGGTATGTTTGGAGTGCCACGTCCGCAGTTACTGCTGGCTTCACTGGCGTGTGTGTGTTCTGCATCTCAATAATAATAAAGTTCTGAGCTATTAACCAGTGGAAGGCATCTTACTGTTACCATCGCGCTCAGTATTTTTGCAGTGACCTCAAGTACTGATATTAATACTGCTACTAACGATACTGTCTTTATTCTTGCTTTGGTACCTTTTTTTGTCCTTATACAATCCATTAATTTGTCCATGTACAAAAATAAATGTTTTATTCAACTTGAGCCACACTGAGTAGGTATCTGCCCAGACAGGTCGTTCTCACATTCCCAGCCATGTTCACATCCAGGTTTTGCTATGGCTGGAGGTAGGCAAGCCTCAGGACTAGCAGGGGAAGCACAGGCCAGCTTTCTCAGGTCTAAATAGTGCAGAAAGGCCAAGTATGGGGAAGCCAGGCTCTCCCAGATTCGAAGCTAGATGAGGTTCAGCTTCTGGGTAGAGGTTTGGTTTAGTTCTTTCTTAATCCAAACCTGTTTGCCCGTCCCCAATCCAGATCCCGACCACTCTAGATGGCTGCCTCTGCTGCGCTTACTGCCTGCAAGGAGCTTGGGAAGCCAGCCCACAAGGTAAACGCCATCGGTGTTCACTAACCCACAGACACACCTGAGGCTTTTTCACGTCACCTCCTTCTAGGGCGTGTAGCTAGGGGCCAGATGCAGCTGAAGGAGCAGCTGGAAGGAGAGGGAGAGCAGACGCTGGGGTGAGGATGAGAGGAGGATTCCAGCCGTCCGCATGGAGCTCAGCGAAGGGCAGCGTGTGAGGCGTTATTTATAGGCAGCGCCTGCCTGCTCAGCAGGAGCACGTGCTGCAAATGCGTTCCCTGTTTTAGAAACCCAGATGCCAGCCTGCTTGCTCTCACTCTCCCCACTCACACACAACACGTGCGTGGCGATCATGGCCTGCGATGCGAGATCCGAGCTTGGCTTACACACAGTGGCCTCATCCTAAAACCCACAGCAGCCCAGCGCTAGGGATCTCCTGTGGAAGAACACTCCTGTCCTCCTCCACTGTCAGACAGTGGGCCCAGAGCATCGCAGCCTCCTCCTGTTTGGCAGTTGTGAGGGTAACGTGCTTTTTGCAGCAAAGCATCACTCATTTTTATAGCACAGGTTGCAGAAGGTGATTAAAAAGCTTTCCTATACATTCCTTTGGAGTAGAGAACACATTTTAAGCATACATATATGTGAAACTCTGTGTGCACTCAAGATACTGTTTTTCTGGTGGAATTTAAACTGCCAGGATTACATGGAGCCTTGAGAGGGTCTCTGTAACTTAATTCATACTGCAAATCTTTGCTTGTAGCTATCGCTAACTGGATATGTGATACGTAATGCCTGTGGTTGTTTGGCACAGAATTGTCTGTTGAAGCACATTTGTCTGTTAGGAGGCTTCTGTTGGAAACGTTTTAATTCTGTGAGATTTCAGAGCTGTTTTTGTTTGGCCATGACGCTTGGTACTGATGCTTTTAGTACTGGGTTGAAGTGTTTGAATTAAAGAGCCTGCTTGCAGGATACATTAACGAAGCATTGTGTAACTGCAAGTTAATCATACTGAATATAGGAGGAAATCTTTTCTGGTTCTTGTTCTGAATGGTTATTATTTTCAGGTATGCAATGAAATGTTTAGATAAGAAGAGAATCAAGATGAAGCAAGGAGAAACATTAGCCTTAAATGAAAGAATTATGCTGTCTCTCGTCAGTACGGGAGTAAGTATCATTATTCCTTTTTATTTTTACATTATGACTGCTATGTGTAAAACATGTTCCAGCAGTTTATCTGTGTGAGATGTGAGAGTTAACCTACCCTCACCCTGAGCCCTCCCCACTGATTCCAGCAGTGTGGCTGAAGTCAGAACGGATTTACTTGCTTGCTGCTCAGGTACAGAGCCTCAAGGAGGTTCCCATTGCTCTGCTAATTCTCTCTCTCACTTAATCCTCTCAGCGTATCAATACTCATCTTTCACGTATTTGTACTTGAAATATTCCCAGCACGTTATTCTGCCTTGTAAACAACATTTCCTTTTCTGCTGTGGTTACAGAATGGAGAGCACGAGATGCTCTTTCAGAGACAAAACTTCATTTATAGTTCTCCCTCCTTTCCCTGTGGCTCCAGTGTTATCCAACAAGTTCAATATCCAATGTCCGTTTAATTGTTTTATGTACATGAGCTGTGTTGCTGTAGAGGTGTAAAAGTAAGCCTGCCCATCTAGCTATGAGCCTGTCTAAAATGAACTGTGCTGAGAGCAGGCTTCAGGGTGCCAGAACCTTCCAGCATGCTGTCCTCGTTAAGCAGAATTGCAATCAGCTTGTGTCACCATGGTTACGTGTGATGTTGGTAAAAAGGTTAATTTTCCTCATAATGGTTGCGTATGAATTCAGCGTTTGGTTCTCAGTTCAGTGCAAATACAGCCCCTTGTTGCAGCCTGCTTGAAGGAAGGAATGAGGAGGAACTGCATGCGATTCCCTTGTGGACTTGCAGGACAGCAGGTGTGCAAACACCGTGGTGCCTGCAGTGCAAGGCTGCTGCTTGAGCTCGCAAGACAGCGCAGAGGAAATGCTCTGAGATGAGATCTGCATTTTATGGAGATTATTTAAATCCTGATTTAGGCTCTGCATTATCCAGAAGGATTAGCAAATGCTGATCCCTCCCTTTTTTTTTTTTTTTTTTTGAAATTTCACTTGTGGTGCACTGAGCATTGTTTAATGCAAGCCCAGTGTCCTTGCTGTCCTCTGCCAGCCCCAGGAGCCTCCAGGTGGGTGTATCCCTGAATTCTTGTGCATGTAGTTGGGTAAGTGCTCCAGGACAGAAGCCTGCCAGCCAGAGCTCTTCTGCTGTCAGGTGATGAATCCAGGGATGAATTGCAGCTTATACAGTGGTGTCAGGAGTCCAAGAAGGTGGAATTCTGCTGTGGAGGCTAGATAAGAAACCTAGGCAAATTAGTAATCACTGTCTTACTGACCTCAATTTGTGACTCATTTGGTCCGGTACTGAATGTGAATTTTTGTGTTTGAAGATTGAAACAGAAGAGGCTGCTGGTGCTGCAGCTCGTTGGCTGATGTGATGCCTCGCTAGTCACATAGCAGCAGCAGAGCAAGAAGAACCATTTGTTGTTCTGTTAGGGCTCATCAGCTCATTAGTGGGACTTCTGCATTCTGCAAGAGATTGAAAAGAGAGGCTTCAGACAAAATGCCATCCATTCAGGTTAGCTACACCTGCTGACGCAAGAAATGCTGGAGCAGTTTGAATATGCAGGATGGAATAGCTTTGAAAATGGCAGAATGAGGTGATTCATTCTGTGTCTGGCTGCAGGCTGCTGGGTTTGATGGCGCCTGCCTTCCCCGTGGCAGCTCTGTGCTTCATCTTGGCACAATTAGTCATGTAATGGGGAATCCAGATGTCTGCAGAACACACAGTAACAGCTGTGCAGATTACACAGATGTCTGTGTAATCATTTTAGTGAGCCCACCTCAGATTTTGGCACTCACAGTTCCTTCTTGAACAGAGAGCTCCCCAGTCCAATGCATTGGGACAGCTTTGTGCTTTGCAGGGCACGGGAGCTGCCTGGTGAACGGAGCAGGGCAGGAATGTTCTTCCTTGGGTTTGTGTGTACTGATGGCTTTAGGAGCCTTGGTTATGCTCAAAATGGAGTCTGCCCCAAAGCTTATTGGGACCCCTGTGGGGTTCTGGGGTTTCCACCAAACCATGGGCAGTTCCCTTTGTGTGAGGAATGTCTGTAATGGCACTTGTACCAATGTTTCTCTCTGTTAAACAATGAGAGGAGAGCCGTTAACTGAGGAATACTTACACCACAGTGAGTGATGCACTGCGTTTACACTCGCAGATTTAATGTATCCCATTAAAATCTGGGCATGTTGTCTGCTGGGATAGAAACACCCTTGGTGTGTTTTGTGGCGTTTAGATGTTGCCACTAAATCCTCTTGGATGGTTTGATTGCTGCAAGACTTTAGCCTGTTTGGGTGCATGTTTGAATGATCACACTGGCTCAGAAAACTCAAGCTTTTGTTCCAAAACTTCGTTTGTAGCTGCAGTAGTGCAGTTGGGGGAATATGGTGCTTAGAAGAAGTCATGTCTATTAGCTGCCACATTGCCTTGCAGCCCAAGGCCACCATGTAGTGCTGCTGCTGAACTGGGAAGCAGAAAGCTTCTGTGAAAGAGTGCTAGAGCTTTCACTATCAGTGCTGCAGTCATTAGCACGTGTCAAAGTTATATTAGGTCATGCTGGTGCTTCCTGCATGGTGCTGTGTCTTCCTGCCAGCATCTGGGCTTTGGGCCTTCAGATGTTGGATTTATGGCCCAGTCCGTGTGTTTGGAGAGCACAGCCCCCTGTAGGGTTTGTTGTAGGATACAGCTCTGGCTTTGTATGGCCTTAGGGAACGCCAACGAACTAACAGCCATCCTATAAACGAGCTGCTTGCACCATTGCCTTAATGAACAGGGGAGGGTTTCAGCTTTCTGCCCTGGTTCTTTAGTGTGTGCATTTGTACAGGTGACTGACAGTAAGATGTTGATCCAGCTATACTGCTTATAGCTGCACGTGTTAAACATCAATGGGAAGTGCTGAAAAGCATCAGGAAGTGGGATGCAGCCCACTGTCCCTCCCTGCACCTGGCTGAACCCATGCCCTGTGAACCTGACTGCAGGGCTGTGCGTGGTGCTGAGCTTGCTGTTCTTGCTTCCCCTGCGTTACATACGAGACAAGAGTTGTGATTTCCTTCCTAGTGTATTTCTGTTCCTTTTACTCATCTGCTGCAAACGCTGCCGGGAGCTGAAGGGCTCGGTGGGTGTCAGGGCTCAGTGCTGTGCAGGCTGCACCAGTGCATGGGTGAGGACATGGTTCCCTTTCCTTTGGGATTCTGACTGCTGGGAGTCCTTGAAATCGTGAGAATGGGAAATGGTGTGCAGCCTTTAACTTCATGGGAACAGCATTACCTTCCCTTTACTTTAATGTGTATTTCATGTTAATCGAGCACAAACTGGGGGAAATGCTTCTAGAATACCTCTGCCTTCTGTGGCTGGAAGTGTTTGGAAGATGGTAATGCCAGCTGCATTTTGTCATTCTTTGGCTCCTAGCAGCTTTTTAACTTTCATATTGAAATGAGAGAGCAAAAGCTTAAGATCTCTAAACCTTGAGCAAAGCATCACAGTACCCAGATTAGTAAACAAATTGCTTTAGAAAATCATGATGACTATTGGCAAATATCACAGGAGAGCATCACGTTTGTTTACTTGTGGCTTCTGTGAGTAGTAATGTGTTCATCACCTGATGTGAACCCTTTGCTCCTTTCCTTCTAGGACTGCCCTTTCATAGTGTGTATGACCTATGCCTTCCACACCCCTGACAAACTATGTTTCATTCTGGACCTGATGAATGGTAAGCAAGGCTAAATGGAGATGGTGATGGTATTACAGAAATGTTGGCAGGAGGAGTGGCTGAGATCACGAGGAGAATGAGGGGAAAATACACTGAGCTGCAAAGCATCAGCCTGTGAGCAGGAGGGGTCAGCAGACCTGGAGCAGGAAATGCAGAATGCAGGTTGAAAAATCTCCTTTGCTCTGTAACATTAACAGATTTAAACAGATATCAGGGAAACTGGTAGGCTGAAAGGCTGGAAAGTGAGCAGAGCTCAGGTCCTGCAAGGGATGCAGACTGGTTTTGGTGTTTTCTGTGAGGATTCTCATGAAAATCACAGTGATGTGTCAAACTCGAGGTGATTTAAATCTGTGGTGTGTTCAGAAAGAGTTTTCTGGGGAGGTTGGGTGTGTTGGTGGTGTGCAGTCGCTCACCCAGTGACATTGCATTGTGGCTGTTCTTTGATGAGGAAGGTGTGAAGACATCCCAGCATGAATGTGCTTAGGCTAATTAGTTCAGTTCACCACTGAACTGCATATACAACTGCATTTCTCTGGCTCTGGTAATCCCTTGCACTAAGACTCAGTTGCTGGATTAGCTGAAAGCAGATGTGAATACACAGCTTCTGAAATGGAGCTTCAGATGAATCCCGTTTATTTACTGACTTTCTCAGGTGTTTTGGGGTCTGGTCCCTTTGTGTTCCTCGGCGTATTAGAATCCACAGAGTGCCCCCCATATCACAGTCTGCCAGTGAGACCAGGTTTGACAGCTCTCAATTCTCCCACTTTCAGGAGGAGATTTGCACTACCACCTCTCCCAGCACGGAGTGTTTTCTGAAAAAGAAATGAGGTTTTATGCTACTGAAATCATCCTGGGCTTAGAACACATGCACAATCGCTTCGTTGTATACCGAGACCTAAAGGTAATGGTTGACACAGGGACTGCACTCACACAGGGGTTGCTACATAGCAGCAAACAGAGTGCAGAGAAGGATCTTATCTGAAATCTCTTCTTGAGAAGGATATAAATTGTTTATGGCTGGCTAAATTTTCTCATAATGCTTCAGCAAACTGCGCTCTCATCCTGCTTAGCAGGCCTTGGGGATGCTTCCTTGGTGCCAGAATGAATCCCGTGCAGTGTTATTCATCTCACGTCTTAATGATGCTATTAATTCAGGGAGTGTACTCGATGTCTGAGAGCCCTGATAGAGGAGCGTGTGTGACAGGAGCCTTGTCTGTTTTATTCTCTTCTGTTATGCTTCAGCACTTTGTAACGTCCCAGTGAAGGTGATGGTAGTGCTCTGCTGGGATGTGGGTTTTATCTGGGAAGTGTCAGTTGCATTCAGTTTGTAATTCCATCAGCTGAGAAATACCAAGCAGTAACCTTTCTGTGTTCATGCGTTTCTAGCCTGCAAATATCTTGCTGGATGAACATGGGCACGTGAGGATATCAGATCTGGGGCTGGCCTGTGATTTCTCCAAAAAGAAGCCACACGCAAGTGTGTAAGTATTACATATGGGAGCTCTTCTGCACAGTCATTGCTAAATAAACTCTTTGTGTGTCTTCAGTATTTAATGTTGCCTAAAAGGAAAAAATAACACTTGCGTGGCACGGGCTCCATACCACAGCTGAGATGGGGACTCTTAATGGGGCTTTCAGGCTCTTCTTCTGCACAGTTGTAGCAGCTGCTGTGTAGGCATGGCTGGAAGATGACACATCATTTCAAGATGATTCATTGTTCAGAGAAGATAAGAAACTGAGTTGAAGTACAGGATTGTTTTAATTGTCCTGAGTGGACAATTAAATATTCTGAAGCTGATGGAAAAACAGGGTTTGTTGTTGTGCCTGTTTTTTGGGTTTTTGTTAGAACTGAAGGCAGGCTGTGTTTCTGCTCCTTGGCATCAGGTTGTAACTGGGGCCTGAATTTCTTGTGTTGCCTTGGATTACCTGGAGTATTTTGTTTGTAGGTCCTCATTTGCCCCAGTTTAGCCTCAGAAATTATGCAGAAAAGGAAAACTTCATCCTGTCGTATCTCAAAAGATGTGCAGCTCAGTAGCTTCTTTAAAAAGCTCTTATTTTCCTGTTGGCAGAGGGTGAGAGCATGCATAAGAATGTACAGCCAAAGTAAAACAAGCAAATAAATAAATGAAAACACATTTAAAATTAGGCCATCCTACTGAAAAAAGACAGTCTTTTTGCTGGCTTGGTTGCAATCAGCGTCTTGTTTCCTTCTGCTCCACAGAGGTACCCATGGATACATGGCTCCAGAGGTGCTGCAGAAGGGAACGGCGTACGACAGCAGTGCGGACTGGTTCTCATTAGGCTGCATGCTCTTCAAACTTCTGAGAGGGTGAGTGAAGTTTCAAGTCATGTATGCTTATTTCTTTTAGCATGGGCCTTATTGCCTGTTCTTTATATTACTAGCATCTTTTAGCTAAAATAACTTGCATTATGCTGAAGCTGGAGAGCCCATTCTTGAGTCAGTGGCAACGGCATTACTTTTACCTGTTCCCAAGCCAACTTGCCATCCTTGCAAATGAAAACACATCTGCACCTGAGATTAAAATAGGGTTTTTTTTGCTTCTAAACTAAGCGAAACTCCAACCCTGCTTCCTGTAATAGATACAGGTTTGGGGCAGTGGGAAAGGTGGGAGCTCCCATCTGCTTTTTTGATCCCTACTGATAGACCGTTTGCTCAACTGTTGGCCATAGTATTTTGGATGGTAAGTTACTCATTGCTTAAATGTACCAACAGCTTTGTCAAATTAGGGAGTTCGCTGTGTGCTTAAGGTCTTCTGTTAAGGTGAATATTTTTCACCTATGATGCTCAGTCCTTCCTCTTGTTTCTAGATAAGTTGTATTTCAGCTTCCCTTTCGAGCGGCGTGGGCACGGGGCTCAGGACATCCGCTGGCTCTGGTGTGGTTCCTCTTGCATGTAACTCGAGGTGGTTGATGAGAGAACCAGCACTCCCTCTCACCACAGGCACTGGGCTGGAAAGTGGGGAGAGCTCAGTGCTGTGATTGCTCCTGGAGGTGGTCAGCCAGAAGCCAGAGTGTTTTGTGCTACAATCTATCCTTCTTAATCTGTTCTGAAGCCAATTAAGCAACTCACATCCCAAAACAAGGCTTGGGCATGTGATACTGTTTCTTGGGGGTTTAAGAAATTTAATCTGGCAGAAAATCCTGCCCACAAATCCACAGTGAATCATTTGTTTCCCTGATCTGCTCCGAACCTCATCCAAGCAAGCAGGGCTATCTGTTACTCATTTTCTCATGCCTTGTTACCTATCATGACTGAAAACAAAACTGAGGTGTGCCGTGTCCATCAGGTCGCTCATCAGAAATGAGAGGTAATGCTTGAGTGGCTGGTGCCCAGCTGAACCAGTTTGCCATGCTGCAGCACAGCGCTTTGTGACAGTTAACTGAGGTATTGATGGGTAAATGACATTTTAGTTCTGAAAAACAGCATTCCCACCCATTGGAGACAGCTAAGGAATCAGGAATATATATCCTAAATCCAATGAAAACATCTCAGTCTGAGAATGCTCTGCTTTCTTTCATGTTGCTATTTAAGTACTGCATGCTAAATCTGTAATAGTCGGAGGGCTAAAAGGAAAAAGGCAAATTCAAAACCAGAATGCTAAAGCAGGAAATGGATAAAGCCGGTAATTTACCACACGCCATCAAATGCCTTCCCAGTCACTACTGTTATGGTGATTATCTTCTGTTTTGTCTACTTTAAGATCTTGCTTCATTTTTTCCCAAGTAGATCAGCGGTGAGTTCTGTAGGTCGTGCAGATCAGTGTGTTTAGATAGTGCTGTGGCAATAGCTTTGCTCTGGTTAGATGGAGCAGCTCTTTATTTTGGGAAGCACAGATGTGATCGGAAAGGAGGGGTTTGAAACAGCATCTTTGAAATGGTTTGTTGGATTGTTCTGCAGGCCAGGATTGGTGAGGTGGAGGAATGGGACTAAAAAGGATGCTACGCTCTTTCCTGGGGTGGCCACAGCTGCAATAAGCTGATATGTTACGGCTTTGCGTTCATGAGTGCTTTTTCTTATTTCTACAGTCACAGTCCTTTCAGACAGCACAAAACCAAAGATAAGCACGAGATCGACCGGATGACGCTCACCGTGGTAAGGGTCCTGGTGACAGATGCAGTTACATTCCTCTTGTTTTCTAAACACCCATTTCCTCTAAAAGAGGAGCTGTACAGCCTCCTTTCTGAGAAAGCGTTTACACATGGAAGAGCTGTTTACAAACACTGACAAAGCAAGCTGCTCTCCTGTGTGCCGCAAGCAGAGCGCAGCCCTCCTGTAACCAAATGTGTCTTTCCGTGTCATAGAATGTGGAGTTACCGGATTCCTTTTCTCCTGAACTAAAATCCCTTTTGGAGGGGCTCCTGCAGCGGGACGTTAGCAAGAGGCTTGGATGCCAGGGGAGAAGGTAGGTGTGGAGTTCTTGTACTACAGCCATTTCAGTTTCCTTTGGTTCGGTCAGTTTGGTTTTGGGTAATTTCCATCATTAAAGACATTTTTCCCTCCCCCCAAGTTCTCTGCAGTCGTACTTATGTTGGCTTATCAAAAGCAGCTGCTTACTTTGCCATAAAGTTAGTATAATATTCACTGGAGTGGAGTAAGTTGTTATTTAGAAGTGATGTATGTGATCTGACATTAGAAGAGAATTGTTTGCTGTTCAGAATCATGGAATACTATAGAAGAACCAGGTTGGTGGTTTGCCAGAGCTACAGCACTGTTGCCAATGTTTCCACATCAAAGTCTGTTGTTTGTATAGGGACACTTTTTTTCTTTTTTGAAAGAGAAAGCATTTTGCTGCTTATTTCAACTAGTGGAAATGCTTGACCTTTGAAGGCTTTGGATTTCTCAAATCCTTTTGATTTGAAAGCCCCTTCATTTTATTGACTGGAGTTATTTTTATTTTGCAGTGCACAAGAAGTAAAAGAACATCCTTTCTTCAAAGGGATTGATTGGCAGCAAGTATATTTACAAAAGGTAAAGGGCTGAGAAACTGTAACTTATTTGTTAAAGCAGTAAACATGCCATGTGCCTGAACGGTCAATGCATAGAGCACTCAGTATTGCTGTCCCCAGAACAGGTACTTGCTTGCACAAGTGCATGCATTTAAATAACATCCATTAATTGGTCTTGACATCATGCTGCTTTTTCTTTCTAGTATCCTCCCCCATTGATTCCTCCCCGAGGAGAAGTAAATGCAGCAGATGCTTTTGATATTGGGTCGTTTGATGAAGAGGACACTAAAGGCATTAAGGTATACAGCTTTAAAGGATAGGTGAAGAATGGCACTTTGTTCTCCTATCCTTCTTATGTGTGCATGCTTCTCAATGTACAAAGGACTGTCTTCAAGCTTTAAAGGCAATCCATGGACCTATCAAGTGGTAGCATGGGCTGGTTGGCTGTGGGTTTTCATTTTAATTTGCCAAGTCCTTGTGTTGTAAATGCAGCTTGGCTGAGGTCTGCTTTCCTGCTTGAAGGTTTACTGTGATGAAGCAGGTAGTCCAAATGGGCTGACAGCTTTTGGGAATCAGTCAGTTTTGCAAGGATATGTAATAGTTTTAAGCTTTAGAAAAGTGGTAGAAGAGATCAGAAGAGAAGAGGTAGAAGAGATTCAGCTTCTGATACTGTTCAAAATCTAATAGAAATAACACCAAAGGAAAAGCCTGCAGCAAAAGCTGCTGTGCCCTCTCCTCTCATAGCTCCCTTGGGGCTGTCCCTCATAGGCTTTGCCATGTGTTCCCCAGCAGCCCAAACATTGTTCTTATTATTGCAGAAGTGAGTCAGGAGAGAAACAAACCTGATAAGCAAAAAAGCCACATGAGCTGCTCACTGCCTAAAAACAGATCCTGCCCGTCAGTGTCACCTGCTGCGATTGCAGGAGTTGGCACAGAAGTGATTTTACGTGTTTCAAGAAAAATGCAGAGCTCTGGGATGTTTCCTGCAATTCTGGAATGCTGTCATTCCTTCTACTGGGATTTTTGTGTGTGTGAGGAGGAAGATTTTAATGCAGTGAGGCTTTTCGTTAACAGCAATTCACCGTTAAGAGAATCCACCGTTTGCATTTACATGATGATTGAATGTAAATATATGCCATGCACATCGAGTATAAATAAAATGGGGCAGGTGAGTAGGGCTTTCAGTGAGAGCAAACCAAGCAAGCTTGGAGCAGGTGGCCTATTCTCACTATATAATTTAAAATCAAGTTAGTATCCATGCTTTCTCTTGTTGGCAGCTGCTTGTGCTGGGAGGTCAGGGATCAAAACACCTGAAAGCTGTGAACTGTTGGGGATAAGAATGGTAGAGCTGACTAAAATGTTGATTTCTTTTGTGTCGTTTTTCTCTTGCAAGTTGCTCGATAGTGACCAGGAGTTATATAAGAACTTCCCACTGGTAATATCAGAGCGTTGGCAGCAAGAAGTAGCAGAAACTGTTTATGATGCAGTGAATGCAGACACGGATAAAATTGAGGCCAGAAAAAGGGCTAAAAATAAGCAGCTTGGCCACGAGGAAGGTAATCTATCAAATACACTTCTCTACATCTTTTACTGCTAGATAGTAATTCATGTGTTTGAGTTCCACACAACAGACTCCTATATTACTGTCACTCACCAGGCATTGTTAGTATTCATGTAGTCAGTATCATATTCTTCAGACATTCCTTCATGTTTTGAAATGCTCTACGATGACATAATGTTTTGGAAAGCCTTTCTTAATATCTTTTAAAAATGATCATCTGCAGCCTTTCATCATTTTGTTTTGTGGTGTTTGCTCAGAAAGGGGTTGATTTCCTGACAGAGAAGTGGGGGAATAAAGCAGGAGGTCCTCCCAGCAAGAGGGAAGTGCACCACAAGGCTCTGAACTGTGGGTGGCAACACGTAAATCTTTTAATAATAAGTCAGAGAGCTTTTTAAGGACCAGATTCAGTTCTTGGTTACCCCCACTGCAATCTCATCAGCTTACGTAATTAAGTCAGAATTGGCTCCATGCGTGTGGAAAGCAAATTGAGTCACCGCGCTCGGGGCTTTCATCGACGCAGCACATGTGTAGGGTGGCTTTGTTTTGCCTCCTGACGTTTCCTCTTTCGATAGATTACGCCCTTGGGAAGGACTGCATTATGCACGGGTACATGCTGAAGCTGGGGAACCCATTCTTGACTCAGTGGCAGCGGCGTTACTTTTACCTCTTCCCAAACCGACTTGAATGGCGGGGAGAAGGAGAGTCACGGGTGAGTGGGGGCACATGGGGGGGCAGCAGCTCCCGGGGTATGGAGGCACGTGGGAGCTGGGGCAGATGGAGAGCTCACACTCACACCTGCATCCCTGGAAGGAGAGTTTTGCCCGAGCGGATTTCAGCTCAGGATAACTTCCCTTGAGTTTCAGTTCAGTCAACAGGTAGTTACAGTGCATTGAGGAAACATCAAGTTGACTCGAGAGCCCTGTTTGCTTTGTTTTGTGATGTTTTTAAGGAATTTGGTAGTTCACGGTGTCGTTTCTCATTTAGGTCCTCTGGACTATTTATACAAAAAAACATAGACTGGTAAGGCCATAACTGCTATAGCATTTTGTTTCAAAGAAAATGCTATAGTAACCTTAGCTTAGTCCAGCTGTGACCGTGTGGTAGGCAGATCATCTGTATGTGTAGTGAAGTAGGGGATTAGAACTTGGGGATGTCCTCATCTTATGGTCTATGGGGAGAGCTTTGCTGCAAACTGCCCTGTGTTTGCTTCTTTCTAAGTATATGTGGCGCTTCAGTATTCCCTCTCAGGTTTTTGATGTAGTCAGTAAAGTTGCCTTCTTTCTTTTCTTTTAAACAGCAGTAATACTTGGAAAAATACGTAAAATGATTTGCAACTCTCTGGAGAGAAAACAGTGAATATTTTGTTTGTAGACCCACCTATTTGTAGATTCTTATTTCATGCTGTCATTACTGGCTTTTTGAGCTCGCATTTTGTTGTCTCTGTTTAAGCAACCAAACCCCCTTGCTAAATCTTTCTCTCACCTTGCAACCTATTTTTAATTCATGACTCAGCCTTCAGAAGTAAAGGATGTTTGGTATGACAATGCTGCTATGTTAGTAAATGGCTGTTAGTGTTCATAACTTCATTCATGGATATAGGCCGGAAAAATTTACCGTTGGCTTTATCTGATGGGCAGTGGTTTTCTTCAAATAATCTCCCTGCTTTATTTTTGCAAACACTACAGCAAAACCTCCTGACAATGGAACAAATAGTGTCTGTTGAAGAAACGCAGATTAAAGATAAGAAATGCATCCTGCTGAGAATTAAAGGAGGAAAGCAGTTTGTCCTGCAGTGTGAGGTGAGTCTCGTGTTTTTCGGTAGCTGTTAATCAGGTGGCTTACATGGGATAGAATGACTGAACATTTTTTCACGTCCTCCTGTTGTCCTTTGCTTAAGTGTAGTTTTTTGTAGCAAACCTCATCCTAAAGGAACTAGCAAGTTCTAGATTGGAAAGTAGGAAACATGCAGCTGTACTAGCATGCATCAGTGGATTTCAGTGCAACTTGGGCCAGAAAGAGCTGAGTTTTGTAAGTAAAAGCTTCAGAACTTCTCAAGCCATCTGGGGCAATGGAGGAGCAAAGGGCTGCGTGTTTTCAGTATCCAGAGTTACTCATTGCTTCAGAAAATTGGAGTAAGCTGCTCTAAGCGTTGCCTAAAAGAGAAGACGGTGTTGGCAGGTTTACTACCAAGTGCCAAACGAGTTCTGTATCTCTTTCAGAGCGACCCAGAATTTGTTCAGTGGAAGAAAGAGCTGACAGAAGCTTTCACTGAGGCTCAGAGGTTGCTGCGCCGGGCGCCCAAGTTCCTCAATAAATCTCGCTCCACAGTCGTAGAGCTCTCCAAGCCACCGCTCAGCCACAGGAATAGCAATGGTCTGTAGGAGGGGGAGAGAACAAATCTCGCTTAGGGAAAGCGCTGCGTGAACATGTTGAGTTTCACAGAATCCTTATGAATTACTTTGTGCAGCCCTGGAAGTGGGATGTGCTCAGAAGAGGAAGAATTAGATGTTTACAGCATGGGGTAATGTCAGAACTCTGACTCTGGAGGTGGTGAAGTCTGGAACAACGGCAAGTGAATTCATGCTCCTAGCAGAGGTGGAAACCCTCAAACGTAGAGGCTGCATTTTGCTCCCATGCATTCCTGCGCCCTGGCGGTGCCCGGAATGGTCCGTTACGCTGGAACTACTGATGGAAGGAAGCTGTTGTCCCTGCAGTACCCTTGTTTGGTGCATACCAAGCCTGGAAACTGCGATGGTTACTGCTAGCTAGGGTTACACGTGTGTGTAACACCGAAGAACCCCTCAACTTTGGAAGGAGCTGCAGACTTGCCCTGTTGGATCACCTTTAATCTGTCGTGTTGCCATGTCCTTCCCAGCCGTTACTGCTGACTCTATAATAACCTTTCTCCATACTGCTGATGATCAACAGTGTGACTCTTATGCACTTCAGAGTACTGAATTCTAACTGTCCTGTGGTTTAAATGTTATTGCTACTTCATGGAAACGTTGAACTCAGATTATTCACTTGGTTTGTTGTACTCACTAAATAGTAGCTACCACCATTTTGCTTCTTCTACGTATATGCAGTACTATAACTGACACAATAGAGTAATAATTGGTGAAGAGGAATTTATGGTAGCTTCATCTAGTGCTCTGTTGTATAAACTGACTGTTTTAGCACAGTTTTTAAAGAGCAGATTCCTTTTGACAAGTTTACAGCGAACATAAAGACAGTTCTTTTCCATTTCAGGTCAACTGCACTTTTTAAAAATTAAAAAAAAAAAAAAAGAAAAAAAAAAAAAGAAATTATTCAAATCCAATGCATTCTAGTGCATGTACTGGGTGAAAAGGCCTGGGGACCTCGGTACGTATTCCGGATGGCTCTTCACTTATGGGACGTGTGGATCTTCTCTGTTGTGCACCACACATGGCAGGTGTGTGCTTGTAGCATAGCTAGCCCAGGTGCTCCCTGCAGCCGAGCTCAGGAGGTCCGTGTGTGCAGCACACGGCTCGGATGGCAACTGGATTTTTACTTTTCTTTCCTAGAGAAATCAAAACGTCCACGTTGAAAACAGTCTGGGAAAGCTGAGGATGGAACGTAGCAAATGAGCTGATCCAATGGCAGATCCGCCCGAACGCTGCTCGAGACATCGGTCGTGTCATGTGGAAACTCTTAACTTGACAAAATGAAGATATAATCTCTAATTGTTAGGCAACTCGAAGCGTGTGGTGGCCGCCTCTCCCTGGTTGCTGTGGTGTCGGGGCTGAGTTTGAGCTTTTTTTCCTCTTTTCTTGCCATAGAAATCACTTTCTGCCCTGTCACAGCTCTCACAGTACCTGCAGGTGGTGGGAAATGCCTCTGTAAGGGAGGCTCCTGTGCCCTTGCATGAGAGGGAGCCCCTCACTGCTGCCGTGTTCCCATGGAAGGAGTGGTGCCCTTGGGAGGGGATCCCTGAGAGCCAGGCGGTCTCTTGGTGCGTGATTTTTCCCATTTATTTTTTGAGTTACCCTGTGAAAGGAGTACAGAATTCACCAAGCTTGCTGGTAAGAGATGCTTAACATCTCGGCATCCTCAGGAAGGAGCAATGCTGGTGTTTACCCATGGTTGGGATGGAGAATTCCCATCATGCTGGCACTAACAGCACACTGGGTATCATGATGTTCTTCCCCCAGTGCCGTGCATGTTTCTTATTGGGTTGGAAAGAAAACTCCAAACAAGATCAACTCTACTCTCAGCTTTCCCATAGCTCATTCGTATTGCCTCAGTTCATCACGGGTCCCATTGAGCTCCTCTGTGCACTTCCCACAGCCGTGTGCTGCTCCGGATGCAGTGCAGCAGAGCTGTGCCAGCAGGGGAGCGCTGCCCCAGCACCACTTTGGCACCCACTGACACCACAGCTGTCAGCAGGAGTGCTTGGCATTGATGTCTGTGGGTGTTTGCACAGAGCATGGCGTTGGTCACTGAGGACGTGAGGAGCAGTGCTGCTTTGTATGCATGGTGACCACGGTATGGCTCGTTTCGTTTTGGTTTTTTTCCAAGTTCAGGGAAATAAAGATAAAAGAAACCAGAGCTTCGGGCATCAGCAGAGCGAGGCGAATGATTAAGCACAGGTTTTTTTTAACAATTAGTCTGACAGTCCCTTTAAAAAATGATCCAGACTTAGGAGGACTTAGGCACGCAGGGAGTAGCTGCTTACATTGCAGCACTGAGAGATGCTAGATAAACCACGGCGGGCGCTCGCTGACGTACCCACATGCCTCCAGCACCGCAGGGGTCGTCTGTTGCTCTCTGGGTCTGATTGTGTGAGCTGATAGCATGGAGGCATTGGGCTGTGAGGTGGCTGCAGGGTTTGGATGTGTGCTTGCTGCAGGTTTGGACTCAGGGGCTTTGGCAGACTGTCGGTGTGTCCCAGTGCTGCTGGCATAAGCTGGGCAGTTCTCTCCAAACGGAGTGGGTATTTTGTGATGCATGGGACTGCTGAAGGGACTGCCCCACGTCACCAAGTGTGGGTGCAGGAGGGGCTGTCGTGCAGTGTACAGTGGGAAGTAAATAGTTGTTGCCGTGTCTATTGATGTAAGGAAGGAGATTCCTGTTCTGCACATGGGAAACCTGAAAAACGTATTTTGAAAAAGCATAGTATTAATTTTAATATTGTAAAAAAAAAAAAAAAAAAAAAAAAAAAAAAAAAAAAGAAAGAAATAAGGAAAATATCTAAAATATACGGAGAACATATGTATATCCAAACATCTGAGGAATTCCGAGATGATCTACTTTTGTTTCCTGTTGATTTCTATTATCCGTGGTGTACATATCGTGTGGATCGAATACTGTTGTTAAATTGTATTTTTATTTTGTGTTAAACGAATCACCACAGACTCAGCTTTATTTTGTTTATGTAAAGGTCGCTCTGCTCTGTCGGTATAAAACCAAGAAGTCTATTTTAACAAAAAAAAAAAGAAAAAAAAGAAAAGAAAGAAAGAAAGCATTTTATATTATTTATTAAATACGCGTTCCTCCAACTTCTGACATTCCACAGCACTGCTCCATGTGCACGGCTGGCTGCAGAGCAGCAGGGCCCTTTAGGCAGGAGCTGTCAGCTTTATTCTGTTTTTCACATCCAAGTCCGACTGCTTTCAGTGCCACCACCCTGCATGGCGTTGTCTCTGAGCGCAACGAATGCAGAACATCTCAGATATCCTTTCCAACCACACTGGTAGCTGTAATTCCCCCTTTTATCTCTCTGTTAATCTCTGCTGGGTTGAACCAGAACTGATGGCCCGAGAAGAGGCTGTTCGGATGGTGAAAAGGCTTATTAATTGCAAGGTTTAATGAGGGAGCCCGGAGAGACTGTAGGGCACTGGGGAAGGGAAGGTGAGCATCAGCTCAGAGCTGTTTGTGCTGTGCTGGGTCGGTGTTGGCGCAGAGCAGCGGAGCAGATCCTCAGTGCTGTTGGTGGCTGGGATGGGCAGCGGGCCGTGTGCTGGGAGCAGTGCTTTGGGACGGGGCTGAGAGCTGCATTTCTGTCTGTAGCAGAGCCGTCCTGCCCTGGCGAGGTACAGAAATAGCATCAGATAGCTCACCAACCAAAAATAAGCCCGGTTCCCATCGTGGGCTCCGCAGTTGGAGGAAGATGTTGAGGTGTTACAGTACGCGCTTTAGATTTCCACCCTGTGGTCATGCAGCTGTTTGGGGTTAAAAATGCCATCCTGGGGGTGATGTGTCGTTTTGGTGGGCAGCGTTGGGCCCCTGGACCCATTGCCTGCCGCGGCACGGAGCCAGGAGCTGTGCTGGGGCATCAGAGCCCGGCGTGGGGAGCTGGGCACGTGCTGGAGCCGGGTGCTGTGGGGCTGCAGCTGTCAGCTCCCGGCTGCAAGGGGCGGCTGTTGGAAGGGGAGGGAGCTGGGAGCACAAGTGAGAGGGCAGCGAGTCTGAAAAACAGAATAAAGTGAGAGCGTCCTCTGAGAGGCGTTTCCATCAGCACTGTTCCAGTGCCTAAATTCAGTCCTTCCAACAAAGGAGCAGATGCACAGCGATAGCTACTAAAGAAATCCATTGAAGAGAACCCGTTTTCAATGTGTAATTTAATGGTGGGAAAAGCCAGTATCTGTAAATAACTTTAGATATTGTAACTATGAGGATCACGATTTGTTTTATGTACTTGGCTCTTTCATATTTATTGTGCAGAGGAGGT